GCCCAGCTCCAGCCCCAAGCCCACGAGGGCCCTAGCAGCCAGGCAGCACCATGTTAATGGGAGGCGGGCCAGGAAGCAGGAGCCAATTTAGAGAAGATGGAGGCTTCTGTGGGAGTCGCGGGAAGAGGGAAGGAGAAGAGGGAAGAAAAGCAGCTTTTGATGCACATCATGTCTGCGGAATTGAGTATGACTAATTAATAGATTTTATTCTTAGTAATCTCTTAAGCATTCCATACGTGGGGCCCCACGCCTGAGCTGAGCTTACAAGAGGCCTCATTCGCAAAATGCAAATGACTTGCCTGGCCCTGCTGCCTTCTCTTGCCTTCCTTGCCTTCTCTTTCCTTTTTTTTTTTAAAGGGGAAATTTAAAGGAAAATTGCCATGTAATAGAAAAGAGATTCCAATCACTACATCTAATTACCACGAAGGGTAAACCACTTAACCAAAGAAGTGTCATGGACTTTTTTTTAAAACTTTAAACCTGCCTTAAATGCCACAAAATACACTCATCAACACTGAGGTCAGTGAGGTTGCTCTGGCTAGTCAGAGGCTGCAAGGGTCAGGCTGGCCACCCCCAGAAGGGAGATTCTAGACAGAAGTGGGGCCTAGGCCCTGTGTCCTCCCGTGCTTCCAGGAGGTGGAGGCTGGACACCCTGGCGCATCCTCTCTCACTACATTACACGGCTGGTTCGGAGGAGCTGGACCAGGAAGGGATGGGGTTTCAGAGTGGACCTGGCTTCAGGCCCCAACCCAGGCTTGGGGGAACAGGGGCAGCAGACATTTGGAGGCTTTCTTTCAGAAAGGACACTAGGAAGATGTCGGGATGCTGAGGCCAGGAAAGATGAGGGGGTGCCCCTGGGCCCTGGCTGAGCTGAGTCTCCACTGTCTTTGGAACTTACACTGGCAGGAGGATGCCTGCGGCCAGGCAGACAGGGACAGCCCGGTGTGAGATGGGTCCAAGCCCCATTAGTGCAAGAGCCGAGAGCAGGAGACGGATGTGTCCTCAGGCCCAGAAGGGCCTGGGCCTGCTTTGTGCTACAGGGGAGGAAAGTTCATCACCCAGGCCCAGCCCGGAGGGTGCTGCTGGCATAGGCAGGATCTCAGAGCTGCAAGGCCTCCGCTACAGTGCTCCCTGTGTATGGCCACCTGCTGTTCCCCTAATGCCTCCCTAGCCTCTAAGAGGATGATCTGACCTCTTGCCAGGCTCACAGAAAGGAGAAAGGAGGACCTAGAGTGACAGCAGGGGACCAGGCATGTCGGCAACGGGGGTTGGAGCCTGGCAGTGGGGAGGCCAGGACAGATTTTTCTGGGACACTGGCCAAAAGCAGGAGTGATGTCTTTAGGAAGGAGATCATGTTTCAGAAACAGCAGAGACCTTAGACTTCTGACCCCTGGCCAGTGCCCCACACCCTTGTGCACCCTCTCCTCCTGGACACTAGCCTTGGGGCCCCTCTGCTCCTCCCTGAGCCACCAGAACGGGCCTTTGTCTAGGAGCTCTGCAGGCCAAAGGAAGGGCAACTTTACATGGATGTGAAATTAAGGCTTGGAAAAATTTCTCTCCTGACCTCACTGTATGAGAAAATTCAGAGGCAGGAAAAGGAAAAAGGCTTGAGCCGAGAATGAATTGTGCCCGTGACCCTGGGCCTCTCCCTGGGGGGATCCCCTGCTTGGTGACACCATCCCTCCGGCCTGGCGATGGGAGCCGCGCCTCTTCTCTGCCTCGCTTGCGCGGCTGTTGTGTCCACTTCTTTCAACCCCGCCGTCTTCATGGAGGGGCCAGCAGCATCTTTTCATGTCCTGTGAGTGGCTGGCCCCTGGGCCTGTCATGGCAGCCCTGTGACTGTTGTTCAGCTTCCTTTTCCTGCCTTTGGCTTTTGTCAAAGCAGCTGAGGCCTTTTGAAAGTGCCATGGCCAGGATCTGGACCCGTTCTCATCCTCCCTGCCCTCAGACCAGCGTCTCTCCTTTGACATCACCCTTCCCGGGTGCAGGACAACAGGCATCTTGATAGACAGTGACCCAAGTTCCCTGAGTGCTGGGATGTAGAAGATATCAGAACCCCAGGCACCACTCCTCTCTTCTTTCCAGATTTGCTGTCATTATTTCATCATTGTTTTAATCTCATGGCTCGCCAAACAGCACTGTCAGTTGATAAATGACGGTGGCATTGATTCCAGAGGGAGGGAAAAAAAAATCTTAACTCTTCTGAGGGCTCCGGTCAGTACCTTTTGGGAGGCTGGCACTTTTAGAGAGATGTGGTCTTCCCTCTCCAGAGCAGAGTCCCAGCGGTGGGCATGGCTGAGTGCTCGGCATTCTAGCGGGGAAGCCGTGTTGTCTCCCAGGGCTTTTCTGAGAATTTTCATGTCTTTTTCTGGGCTTTGTTTGAACAACCATGGAAACCATTAGGTCTAATCAGCTGATATTAAAAAAAAAAAGTCCCTGCACCAATTATCTATCTCTGGAGGAAGCATGTAGCACACAGTAAATGCTCAGAATGTAGCTGTTGAGGTGATCTGTGGGGGTGTGGGAGGAGAGAGAGGAGGACTCTGGCAGTCAAAGAAAGCTTTTCTCTATATCAGAAAGGAGCACAGCCCAGCTCTGGCCAACCTGAGACAGGATCAAACCAAAAGCACTCCTTGCCCAGGGTTTCCCCAGCCACCCAGCCAAGACAGACATGCCTCCGCCTTTAGGAACAGCATTACCCCCCACCTTCCATCCCCAACACACTTTGTCTACTTAATGATTTCTAGGAGAAAGCAACATGTTTGCAACTCTGTTGTCTCAGGAAAATTGTATGAACTGACCCCAAAAGTACTGTAAGGACCATATATGTGGCTCTATCTACCCATCTGTATTTAGAGACACGACATAAAGGTAGACAGGTAGATAGATGCACCTCCAAGTGGCTGGGAAAGCCACAGCTTCCATGGGACTTTTACAGAGTATGGTGCATGGAACTGAGGAAGGCTTTAGTGTGGGAAAAAGAAAGTTTGTTTTTTAATTGACTACATCGTTCTTCAAAGAATGCAGTGAAAGACGCACTATTTCTGCAAATCTGTAAGGGAAATGGCATGGAAAGAACCCAGGAAGAGATTTCAGGACAATATCTCCATAGCAAAAGATATTTTCTTCCCTTCTCCTTTGTGAGGAGCCTGAAAACCTTCCATCATGTCGTCTCCAGTGAGCAGCCAGCAGCGAGAGCTGTGTGGGGGCTACGTGTCGTCGGCTGCTTCTGTAACGGTTCCTTTGTGATGGCCCTGCACAGAGCACAAGGCGTACACAGGCGTTGCACAGGTAGTATCTTTCCAGTTCAGGGAAGAAAAAATCCAACCTAACCCTTCCTGCAGTATTATTTTTAGTCTTTCCCTCCCCACCTGGCATCATTTGGTATAAATTATGTCTTCAGTAACGTCAAATCCCCCTCCTGCCTTCTATTCTTTAAAAAAAAATTTTTTTCCCCCACTGTTGTGTTCTACAAAATTGTCAACCCTCCCGAAACTGCTTTCTGCTGGGAGAGTCATAGTGGAATTTCTTTTCCTTGCTCTGTCAGATGGCAGCAGGCTGGGCAAAGCCACGTGGCCGCCATGCCAGGAGGAGGAAGGAGCTGGGCGCTGACATCATGTGTAGGAGTAATCTATGTCAGGGATGCCGCCGTCCCGGTAGCCCCGCGTGGTGCCGTAGCCGATGGTGTGTGTGCCCTTGCAAAGGCTGCTGCCATTGGAGGGGAAGATGGTGTGGACCACGTACTCCTCTTTGGCGCGGTAAGGGTTGACGGGCAGCATTTGTAGCCCGGGGCCGCGAATTTCCAGGATGGAGTTATCCTTCTTGGTCCCCGACTCCATATAGTCGTCCTTTTTCCGGTTGCCCCGGTTGTAGGCTCGCTCCCGGGTCAGCAGGTCGCTGGCTCGGTGCACATACCAGCAGATGGCTCCCAGGACCAGGAAGAGGAAGACAAGGGCCACAGCGCCACTGATGATGCCCGCCAGGGGCAGGCCTGCCATGGGGTCGGCGCTCTGCTCCTGGTTGAGCGTGGTGGTGGGGCTGTGGCTGTCGGCCGTCTCTGCCTTGGCACACACGGGCGTCTCATCCGCTACGTAGGTGTTGCCGGTCTCCATGGTGACCAAGCAGATGATATAGGTGGACTTGGGCTCGAGGGCTGTCAGCAGGTACTCTGTCTTGTCCCCCTGTACGAGAGTCTCCGTGATGGAGCCCACGGCCGGGCTGTGGCCCAGACGCAGCCAGCTGAGCCGGAAGGAGGAGGCAGGGAGCATGGCCTTCCACGTGATGCGGATGGAGTCCGCTGTCAGGGGCTTCACGTGGATGACCAGTGTTTTGGTGCCATCACCCGTGGCCATGGGGTAGTCGAGGTTGGAGTCAGGTAGGCGCAGTCCCGGCCTCTTGGCCTTGAGGGTGAAGAGCGAGCCCTGGGGCGTGGTGGCGGAGGCATGATCACTGGCTGTGGTCTTGGCAGCGGCATTGGCCATGCCACCCTGCACCCCTGCTTCGAAGCACTCGTCCATCTCGCTGGTAATGTCCTTGATGGCCATGCCCCGGACCTTCTCGGGGCCCTGGCACATGAGGCCACGTACGTTGACCACGGCCGCCCGCGCCTTCACCCAGTCGCGCAACCACAGAAGGTTACAGCCGCAGAACCAGGGGTTGTTTCTGAGCAGCAGCTGGGCCAGGTTCTCCAGGTCATCGAACAGGCCACGGGGCAGCGTGGTCAGGTTGTTGTTGGACAGGTCCAGGCGCTCCAGCTCGCGCATCTTGGCCAGCGTGTTGTAGGGCACGTGGCTGATGGCATTGTCTTGCAGGTAGAGCTTCTGCAGGCGGGCGCTGGGCAGGTTGAGGGGCGGGGCGGCCAGTGAGTTACGCACCAGCGAGAGCTCGGTCAGGTTCTGCAGGCGGCTGAAGGTGTCGTCGGCGATGCGCTGGTTGGCCAGCAGGTTGCCGTCCAGCACCAGGCGCCGGAGGCTGCTGAGGCCCTTGAAGGCGTGCAGCGGGATGGTGGAGATGCGGTTGTCGTCCAGCCGCAGCTCCTCCAGCGTGCGGGGCAGCCCCGAGGGGATGCTGCTAAGGTGGTTCCTGCTCAGGAAGAGCAGCTTGAGCTGCTTGCTGTCAGCGAAGGCATCCTCCTCGATGCTGACGGTGGACACGGAGTTGTCGTCCAGGTGCAGCTTCTCTAGCAGTGGGATGCGGGCCAGTGAGTCCCGGGCGATGGTGCGCACGTTGTTGTCCTGCAGGTGCAGCTCCCGCAGGGAGCGGGGCAGGTTGACGGGGAACTCGTCCAGGTCGTTCTCGTACAGGTAGATGACCTGCACATTGACCTTGGTCTTCAAGTCCTGGGGGATGCCGGCGTTGTTGATCTGGTTGTTCTGCAGGTAGAGGGTGGTGGCGTCATCCGGGATGTCGGCGGGGATGGAGGTGAGCCCCCGGTCGTTGCAGTAGATGAAGCCATTGTCACAGCGGCACACCGAGGGGCACGTGGTGCTGTCAATGACCTCCGTGAGGAAGGCGATGAGCCCATAGCAGAGGAAAAGCCAGTCCCGCAGGTCCATGGTGGCCGTGGTCATCACAACAGTGGCCGTGATGGTGGCAGCGGGTGTGGTGGTGGCGGTGGCAGTGGGGTGTGCCACCACCATGGTGGACAGCTGGGGGAGCTGGGCCCCACCTGACTTGCAGCCTCTACACCTGCAAGGAGCACAAGACACGTGCAGTGAGAGTAAGTCGGGCACTCCCCTGCCTGGCATCAAAAGGTCACTATATTTAGGGCCACAGGGCAGAGGTCAGGCCTCGAGGCACACGCCCCGCAGCCCTTTTGGTGCCAAGTTTACATCACAGATGATCGCTCGGGCTGAGGTCAGCCTCCAATGACCCCTGGCTCACGTTAATCTCGCCGGGAGCCAAAACCCTTCCTGTGAATGACACAGACAGGGCCGCAGCCCTCCCAGACTTTGACTATGAGCCTCATGAGGTTAATTTAGTGGGACCTAGGCCGCAGTTTCGGTCTCCTCTTTCAAGATCTCACACTAAGCCAAGTCTTTATGGCTGATGCTGAAAGTGGCTGGTCAGTGTTGATGGGATGGATTTAGGGCATGTTTTATGGATTCAGAGCTACCCTTTCTCATTGGAACGGGAAACTTGCATCCCTCTCTGGCTGGGACCCAGGGTTTGAAAGGAAAGCTTGTTTCTGCAAGACCTGAGAGCTCAAAAGCAGGGAATGGGGTGGGGTGGGCGTCACTAGAACCTGCAAAAAGAAGCTGCCAGCATCATCGCTGGCAAGCAGCGGAAAGCGAGGAGCTTCATCGTCTGGTGTTAAAACAACATGTCCTGTTTGTCACTTGTGCATCTTATAGACAGAAGAATGAGGTGTCAGCAGAGCCGCTTTCTCGTGTATTTACAGAAATCTCTTTCTAGCAGAGATGCCCTCCCTGGCTTTGTGTTTCGTGTTGTGTGAAAAGTAATTCCACACCTTGCCCCCTTCCCAAATCATGAAACTTTCAGCTATTTTGAAAAAAAAATGTTTTCTTGCATTTAAAGACAAGAGACAAATAAAAGGAGGGAGGGGGTCCACGCTCTGAGGGAATTGTCTGCAAGGAGTAATTTCGGTTTTCACAAATGGAAAAATTCAGTGTAGATTTTTCTCATATTACTTTACTGTTCATAGAGGTAAAAAAAATCAATTAAAGAGAAATTATCTTTCAACCTCGGTGGGGAAAATGTCTTCATGCAGCCGGCAAAGGTCTGTTTTACAACTCCAGGTTCACAAAGGCTCTTTAGTGTGGGACACAATGGCCTCTCGGAGTCTCAGACAAGGCCCCAGCCTGGATGGCAGCCCTGATGTGCAGAGCAGAATCGGGACCAACTCCCTGTATGAGTCAATCGGGACCTCACTCCCATGCCCCAGGGACCAAGTGTCTCCTTTTCTCAACCACATCACACCTTTCTTCCTTCTGTCTCTCTGTTCCTGGGCGGCTCCTCTCCAACTAGCACACTGCTCCTCGCCCTTCAGGAACATGTTCAAATGTCTCTTCCTCTGCTAGGTGTTCCTGATGTCATATAGAGCTTCCCTCTGCTCCATCCATCCGTCCACCCACCCACTGTTTATTCATCCATCCACCCATCCATACCTCTGTCCACTTACTCACCCATCCATCCATCCATCCACCCACCCATCCATCTACCCATCCGTACCTCTGTCCACCCACTCACTCATCCATCTATCCATCCATTCACCCACTCACTTATCCATCCATGCATCTGTCCATCCAGCCATCCAACAGAACTTTACTGAGCACCTACCATATGCCAACCTGTGTTCTAGGCACTGGGAATTCCATTCTGATGGGATGGTAGCTCACACTATAATAAAGACCTCACCTAGAATTTTATGAATATTTAAGTCATTTAATCCTCCCAGCAAATGTCAGGTTAGTGCCCTTGTTATTCCCATTTAACAGATGGAAAAACTGAAGCTCGGAGACATTAACTTACTCAAGACCACTTGAGAAGTACTGAGGGAGAACCTAGGCCAGGATCTTGACCACTCAGCTTGTAGCACTGCATCTTGTGCCCAACTCTGTGGGCTGCGGGTCACGCTGTTTGGTAACTAGTGTTTTAATGTCCCCAGCTAAATTTTGGGTGCTCTAGGGCGGGGACTGTGGGCTGTGTAGGCTAGTATGGCTTGGCATTGGTGACCACGCAAAGATAGAAGGGAGCCGGCTGAGGTGCCAAACAAGGGAGGAATGCCTCTGCCTGCTCGCTGCTGCCCCTCACCTCATGCCATTTGCACTGGCCTGTGGCTAATGCTCTGACTGCGCTCAGAGCTTCTTTGCAGCATGATGCTTTGTCCATGAGGTGGACTCAAAGCAGGCTGAGGCCAGCTGAGAATACCTGGCTGGAAGCAAGTGAGGGTGAGGGCCAAGTGCACAGGGTCTGCACAGAGAGCCAGAGGGGAACGAGGTCCCGAGGGAAGCTGGAAGAGAGGTGGACTGATGAGACTGTGCCCAACCCTCTGGGCCTCTGCAGCCAGCTCAAGCTGCCTCCCACCAGCACCTGTGGCCTGAGGGGCTGAGGACATTTGTCTGCTTACCCCAGATGCTTCTTTGGAGGTTGGCCTGAGTCTGTGGGTCATGACCCCACTCACACCCCTGCCCCTTGGGACTTGGACTTGGTCTTTGCTTCCCTCACATGCACTCCTAGCTCTCTGGATTTGGATAGGGGTAGATCCCAGCATAAGGGGCCAGGCCCTACCCAGCCCCCTCACAGGCACATTTGTACCTGTGCCCACCTGTCACATACACGTGGGTGCTCGGTCCCATTTCATAGCTGAGCAGCCTGAGGCTCAGAGACATGAGGGGCCCGTCCAAGGTCACAGCCAGCTCAGGCTTCCAGCTGCACATTGGTCCCTTTCTCTGCACAGAGCCACAGCTATGAAGGTTATGGAGCCTGGAGGTCCTGTCTCAAGATGCTTATGAGCAAAGAGGCAGGGCCAGGGCAGGTGCTGGGGACAGGAAGGCTCAGGGCTGCTCAAAGGCCACCTTGCCTCAGTCTCAGAGGTCAAGTTTGAGTCCAAGAGCACCTCTGCCCAGGCTCCCAGCGTGTGGCCAGAGGACGCACATTCTCCCTGGTCTGTCAGCTGCTGTGAGTCCTGGCACAAGGGATATGGGTGGCCCCTGGGCTCAGGGATTCCAGAGCAGTGCCCTGAGCAGGGGGCAGACTTGTTAAAGCCAAAGCCAAGGCCAGACTGCATTCTTTGGCATGAACATCAGTTTCTGGTGCCCGCTCAGCTCATGGCCACAGCCCTCAGCCTCCAGGGGCCCCAGCACCATAATAGAGTCTAAATTGCATCTTTCAGAGATGTCTGATGAATAACCAAGAAGCATCTGGGAGGCAGGGACCCAAGGCCTTTCTGCTCCCCGGTCTGTGAGCTTCATCCATCTTGGCAGAGCCTCCCCTGCCGCCCCCTTCCCCAAGGCTTCCCCAAGGCCTGCCTGAGGCTGAGGCTGAGCCCTCTAGCTCCGGAAAGGTAGGGCAGGGCCTGGGGGTGGGGAAGAAGACAGTATGCCTCCCTGAGGAGCTCTTTAATTGCCCAGGTGCCTCGAGGCCTTTTTATTCCCTTGTTGTGTGTTTGATGGTTTATGTGGCCATCAAACTAAACCTGGTAAATCGCCCATCTTTTACGGGATCACTTGTCACTGTTGCGAGAATCCCTCACACTTCAGCGTGGTGTGAGTTATGACCTGCTGGCTCCATGACTAACAGCAGGATCCGTGGCGTGTGATGGGGTTTGGGGAGGGGAGCAGTGAGATGGCACAGACTGGAGGTATCCAGACCCCCATTAGCCAAGGGGTGACCTGGGACATCATTCTGGGCATTCGCCACCAGTCCCTAGCTCCTGCCATCTTCTAGGACTGAGAAACCTGGGTTCAAGTGCTGCCTCTGCCACTTCCAGGCTGTGAGATCTTGAGCGAGTTACTTGCCCTCTCTGAGCTTCAGTTTCCTCATCTATAAATGTAGTCATAAAGTCCCCTTAGAGGCGAACTGACTACTGAGGTTTCAGTGAGATAATACATGCAAAATGCCCTCTCCTAAGCACAGCCTGTATATCCCAATCTGTTCTAGCCCCTGTTAATTGCTTATCTCTTTCCTCTGCCATCCCTGTTCACTCCTGGGCCCCGGCTGTGCCTCCAGGGTAGACTGGGACCCTGTAGGCCAAGCTGCTTCCTGGCACAGACTCCTTGTCAATTGCTGTTATGTGGGGTCTCCCTCACCTCAAATTGTGCATCCTCAGCCCCGCTCCCCCAAGCTAGGGTGGAAGAACTGACCCTAAGTCTGGGCCACAAAGAGCTGGCCCATCAACACCAGGCCCCTCCCATGTGACCCTGGCTGCTCCAGCCCTTCCTTCATGGGGGGCCCTCTTGGGGGTCCAGTCCCAGAAAAGGAATGTGAGTGGGTAGGACCTACAGCTCAGTTCTTGCCTCTGCCCTCTTGGAACTGAGAAGCAGACCACCTCCGGTTCCTGAAGGCCCTGCCCTCCCTTGTGCTGCCTCCAGGCCTTTGCATGTGCTGTTCCTGCTTCTTGAACTCTGGCACACCTTCCCCACTCAAGCCTCGCCAGGCCAGCTTCTGCTTATCCCCCAGTCCTCAGCTTGGACGCCCCCTCCATGAAGCCTCCCTTGAGCCATGTCCCTGGCTCTGCTCCCTGCACGCACTTGACTGGTAAAGCAGGCGCTGAGTGATATCTGTAAATATCTGCCAGCTGGACAGAGGCGCCGCCCCATTGGAGACCCCTGGTCTCCCAGCGCTCTGCCCAGTTGTCTTTACCAAATCCTATCAAGCTGGGGCTGCCAGAGGCCAGGGCCATCTGGGGAGTCAGAGCGAGGACAGCACGCAGGGGGCAGCTGTGGGACCCGAGGCCCTGACATGCTGGAGGGGACATGGTGTCTACTGCTGCAGGTTCCTGGGGGGCAGCTAGACATGCGCACACCAAGGGGCTGAGTCGGGGTAGGGGGCACATTTCTGGAGGGAGCTGGGGGTTCCAGGCAGCAGAGGGAAGTCTGGGCAGGCCTCTGTCTGCCTCCCAGCCCTGGCCTTCCTATTTGCCAATGAAGGCAGATCATGTGGGGACGTCCCGATGCCGGGTCCCATGACCTCAAGGCCCTTTGAACTCTGTGCGCACAACTTCACTCTTGATTTACTGGTGCCATTGAGGACTTGTAATGCATGGGGGGAGGGCGTGGGGATTCTTTTAAAACCTAAAGTTAATTATTTTTCTAATTTCATGCTGCATGCATTATGCATCAGCTGTTATCACTGGCGGTAATTGCAGACAGGTATGCAAATCCACTAAAAATGTACCTCGAGTTCACCTCACCGCGTAGGCCGTCTGGGCGGTGCCGGGCAGCGGGATGTCCCGAACTTCAGAGAATGCAAATCGCTTTAAAAAACAAGACTTTAAAATTGTGTCTTAGGAGGTTAATTATATTGATAACAGTGTTCGATATTAAACTATTCAGGGCCGGGGGGGGGGGGGGATGAAAGGAGACACGTGTAATTTTGTTTCTTTCTGTCTCTACATTATTTAATAAGATGTTCCTGTACCCAATATTTCTGTCTGTCTCTGTACATTTTTAGTAAAGCTGCCTAGACTGAGACGTAATCCTTTTGGGAAGGGAAAACAAAAGGCCAGGGGAGTTTCAAAGGGTAGGAGAGGGGCCTGAGGGCTGTTATTCTGGGGGCAGCCTTGGAGAATAGGGCGGGGGTCCCAGGTCTGCGCTGCTGGGTTTCTCAACAGCCTGGGTGATCCTGGCAGCCAAGAGCCAGAAGAGTAGCAGGGCAGCCAGGAAAGCCTGAGAGCGGTGATGCTTACAGGTAATAAGACAGAGGCTTGGAGCTGGGTGGAGCTGGGGCTCCCCCAGGAGCTGTGTGGCATCCCCCCACAGGCAGGTCCTATTCCTGGTGAGATCCCTCCCTCCCCCATTTACTTATCACCAGTTGATTGTCCAGTCCTTCCCACTAGGATAGCACCTCCTACAAGTCAGGTGTGGTCTGTCCTGTTCCCTGGCCTAGCACAGAGCCTGGCACCAGAGGTGATCCTAAACACATGCTGAATGAATGACTGACTGAATGAATGAGGTTGCCAAAAGGGAGGCCCCAGAATCTGAAGCCAGGACAGGGCAGTGGATGAGAAGAGGGGGGCTGGCCTTCTGTCAGCCCCACCTGGGAGGTAATAATGACAGGTGTCCTCACCACAGCAGCCCAAAGGGGCAAAGGGACCAGTCTGAATTGTGCAGCAGGTGGTGGAGGAGCTGGACACAAATCCAGGATTCCTTTCCTGGGGGTCATACCTGCCTCTCTCAGCTGCCCAGTGGGGCCACCCCAGGCTCCTCGGGAGCAAACGCAGGGAAAACTCCTGGCTGTCCCCTCTCATCTCCTCTGACACAGGGTGGCCCACCTGGCCCTGTCCAACTTCAGGTCTGCTTCCAGACATAGAGGCTGGCCCCACTTTCTTAGAGATGGCCCCTTCCCTCCCACCCCCACAGATACGCACAAGGGTAGAACTCACCCTCAGGATCCTGGAATCAGGGAGGCAGAGGACCTCACAAAAACTGAGTCTCAGAGAGAAGAAGGGATGGGTCCAGGGTAGAGAGAGCCTTCCAGCAGCTGTGGAGGCCAGCTGCCTCCTCTGGCCTTGGCCCTGAATTCTCAAACCTTTTCCCAAGGGTTTGGCATGGACAGGATGATGGTGGAGAGTTTCCAACTCAAGCAGGGTCTCCTGGGGGCTGCCTTCCCCTGCCAGCAGCTCTGCAGACCCCTCTGACCCTGTGGGGTCAGGCCCACTAGTAGCAGTAGCTGGCAAAGCTGAGCGCCAGCTGCACGCTCAGCCCTTCACAAACTCCTCTCCTTTCCAGCTGTTCACAGCCCTGTGGAGCCTGTGTCCCCAGGGCACAAAGAGGGAGCACACTCAGGGAGGGGAAGGGATGTCCCCAAGGTCATACCACTCACAGCTGGAATGCCAGGGTGCCAACCCACCTCTGGCCCACAGCCCAGTTAGTTGGTCTCTGCTTTCCTGCCTTGGAATGGAGGGAAGCAGTATGGCTCAGCAGAGGCAGAGCCCAGCACTGAGCAGATTCTCTGTAAATATCTGGGGTGCCAGCCTGCTGCTTCTCCCCGCCCCCTCTACCCCCGGCTTGGCCTCAGCCCCAGGAATTACCCACCTAACCTCTCTTCAGGGATGGGAGGAGGGTAGGGACAATTGATGAGGCTATGGGAGGGGTCGGTGGGATGGGAGAAGGGAGGCCGGCTGGGCAGGGGCCCAGCTCAGGCTCCGGCGAGCTCAAGACGCCTCTCGGCCCCGCTGCCGGGCTGGCGCGCCTTTATAATAAATAACAGCAAATAGCCGATCCACAGGGCATCTTTCACGCTGGTGGCTAATAACACGGCTATTAATGCCCCCGCAGATGGCGTGCACACCGTGCCGCGCTGACGAATGTCCTGGGCCCTGGTGCAGTCATAAATCAGCCCCTCTCCTGGGGAAGAGCGTGAGGAAGTGTCATTTTCCATCTTGGTAATGAATTGGGGCTTCCCTGCCCTGCCCAGGGCACCTTCGATAGAGGTTGCCTAGGATTTGTATTTGGGGAGGCACGAGGCCCTCCCTTCTGGCCTCTGGGGATCTGGAGGAGTAGTTCCTGTCCCCTAGGCAAGACCCTGCCCTCCAGGTGCTCACTGCTTCTCTGTGACCTTAGGGCACATACTGCCTGTCTCTGGGACCCATCATGCCACTCTCACCAACAAAGGGGCTGAACTGGAGGCCAGAGCAGATGACGCCCGAGGGCCAACAGGTACGGGCCTTGGATAGTGGCTTTGGATCACTCCTACCCTGGGTCCTCCTGGCCAGGGCAGAGGCAGGCCTGGATGGAGAGGACTTGTGAACCCTCTCCGGTTGGAGGGCAGTAGGTGTCATGGCCAGGGGCTAGGTCACCAAAAGTCCTGCCTCCCTAAGGCCTCAGGGTTGCCCCCTTTGGTTTCAACTCAGAGTGAAATGTCTCTCCCCTGAGGGGGGCTGTGCAGTGGGGCCATGGCAGGGGGAGGGGCAGTAGTCCTACTCCAGGAAAGGGCCACCCACCCTGGGACAGAGACCACTGGCACAGGGAGAGGGGACCCACGAGGTAGCAAATGACCCCTCCCCTGGCAAGTAGATACCACCAGTTGCTGGAACTGCACACGTTGGGTGGGTGGGATGGAGCTGCAGACCTGGGAACGTGACCCAGCTCAAAGAAGGCAGGCACTAGCAGTCCCCAGAGAACTAGGTGCACTGCGCCCTCTGGGCCCAGGAGCCGCGGGGCCTTCCCAGCCCGTCCAGACCCAGCTGCATCTGCCTTACCTCCTTCGCTATAGCCTGGGAGCCCGCCACTCTGGATGCTGTGCTTGTGGTCGAGGTGGGCCCGGGCCTTGCTCACATGCCCGCCTGCTGGCCTTGGCACTTGGCGTGCGGACCACAGACCTGGTTGTTGGGTGGTGCCAGCGGCGCCCGGGGCACAGGGAGGAGACCTTGCTGGGCTCCTTGTGTTCAAAAATGGCTGTGGGTCCGGAGCAGCATCCTCTGTGCCCTAGGCTGCGGGCGCTGCTGGCTTCTCCCCTCCGGAGTGAGGGGCTCTCATGAGGGGCCTGCAGGGGTGCCCCCGGAGTCCCCGGGACTCCCGTGCACAGCCCAAGGGTGTTCTGGGCCCCTGCTCCCCAGGCATGCCCTATGGCCTGGCACCCATCCGGAGAAGAATGGTCTCGCAGCCCTCGTTCAACTTTCGCCCTTTTGTCTGTTGGCCACCGCCTCCTCTGAAAGCCTTCTGCGTGGCTTTTACCCCTTTTTCTTTACCAATTTTTTTTTTAAATCCCTTTAAGTCACTTGGCAGAATAGGCTCCGGTACAGAGAGCGTTCTTGCGTGACAGAGCTGAGAGGGAGCCGCTCTCCAAAGAATGGGTATTCCTGCCACTCAGGCTGTGTCTCCGGCGGCGGGGAGGAGGGCGCCCATTACCCCGCTGAGGAGTTCAGATGTTCACCGCGGGGCTGGAGCTGCTGACATGCGCCGCTGAGCTGTCAGGCCCCACACGCCCCTCTTCGGGAAGATGTTGTGGGGGGGGGTGCTCAGTCCTGCTTGGCTGCTCCTGTTCGTAGAAAGGTTTTCTTGCTGGGTAGGTAGGCGGACGGGTTATTCCTGCTTCACCCCCGGTCTCATCTGTCCAAGAAGGAGTCCTTCTCACCCAGTCGCTGCCTTCTCACCTGCCAAAAAAACAATACGAGTGATGAAGCCCCGGGAAATGAGGAGCCATGCAGGACGGCCAGCCTGGGCTGCAGCCCCCTCTCCTCCCACCCCTCCGGAAACCTGTTTTCTTGAATGTCCCTTTCCCGTGATCTGCAAGGGGGCTGGGATTATTCTCTGCCATCTCTTTTCTTTTCAAATCCAGATCACAAACAGCTGGCCGTGCCCAGCACCCTTCCCTGCAGCTCCCTCCTTTCCCTTTTCCTGGGGGTGGGAGGACTGGGACGAGGCAAATGAAGTTCTGAGGGCTCCTGGCTGTGCCGGGGCCGCACGCCTGGCCCAGAGCTGGCTGCACTTCTCCCGGCACCTGCTCCTCTTGCAAAATGTCATTCAAAGGATCCAACTGGGCCACCACAGCCTTGGCTTTCAGAACCAGTGCTGCCTCTCCCCACAGTGGGGAGCAGGAGCATCAGGGACGCGGGGAAGTGGCATCCCTGGCCTCCCTCTGTGGCCACCCTCCCCTTCCAGGGAGACCTGGGGACAGGGCCAGCTCTTCCTTAGCATCTAAAACCACCAGAGCCCTCTGGATCACCTCTCATTAGCGTGGCATGTTGAAGGCCCACGGTGCCCCGGTGTCCATATTCCCCCTGCAGGAGCCCCTCTTTGGAAAAGGGCTTTTATTACACATCTGAGAGTGTTAGCTCTGGTTTGAAATCGGATCCAGATGGGCTTGGCTGCATCTGGGCACTTTTCTTTGTAGGGACGAAGGTGGCTGATTTGAGAAATGCACGTTGTCTGGGGCTGTTGCAAATAAAAACATGAATATTTCAGGGTGCTTGTTTTAATAAGTCTAGAGCCAAGATTGTGGGGGTCAGAGGTCACCGTGCACTGGGCGTCCAGCCCGGCAGGGAGGGCGTGTGGGAAGAGGGGAAGATGCTGGCCAGGTGGAGGGCAGCCTGAGGCCGACGGGTTGACTGGCTAAGCAGGGAGGTTTTGGGACAAGCTTTCCCAGGTGCCAGGAGGTTTAAGAACCACCAAGTTTTTGGAACCCATGGGACATCTATCCTGAATGGCTAGGGTCTGGTGAATCCTCAGGGTGTGAACAGGCAGGTGGGGTGCGGACCCCCTGGGAAGGGGCAGGGTTGGGGGTAGACAGGAGGGAAGAGGATGACAAAGTCCCCACACGAGGGGTGAATGCTGGGCTCCCTCCCGGCTCTTGTTGCTCTTACACCCGTGTGATTTCATCCAATTATAAACTGTAATTTCTCTATGAAAGCGAGAGGCAGAAACAGCCCAGTGAGGTCATCTGCCTCCCTGACTAGGATGAGGAAACTATTTTATACCGTGGCGGGTGGGGGTAGGGGCAGAGGCAGCTGGGCCTCTGTATTTAGAGAGGATGGTGGCAGTGTCCTCAGAGCTGAGGCTCTAGGCAGCCATGGCCGGCTGATCCCCCAGGATAGAGCTCTGCTTTTGAGATTGGGAATCCAGGAAGACAGCTTTATCAGGCCCTTCCCGCAGCCCCTGGGATAAAGGTGAACTCCTAGGCAGCCTCCAAGGCCCACCAGGCCTGGCCTTGCCTGATTCCCCCACCTCGTCTCCCACCACCTCCCCCTAACTCCCCGAGCTGGCCCCTGCCTTTCCCCATGCTGTTCCCTCTCCTGCAAGAGTCCACCCAACATCCCCCCTCCCCTCCTGTCCGTCCGCAAGGTTGCACAAACCCTGACACCAATGACATAATATCTTGAAAGGAATTGTCTTCCTGGTTCAAGGAAGGGACCACATCTGCTGGTCCGAGGCTGATCTCCCGGTGCCTGAGTCAGTGCCTTGCCCACAGTAGGTACTTAATAAATGCACCCAGTGAACGCCCCACTCTGCTTTCTCAGGTAGAAAATCAAGGGTCCAAGCAAGGCTCTCGGTGAGCCTGCCCAGCTTTGTGCATTCTGGGTCCCACTTCCCTGCACATCCCCTTCCCTACGTGTGGTTCTCATGGGAACCAGGCAGCATGCACGCCCCAGGCCCCACTGAGGACGTGGGCTCCTCGAGTGTTTCTGCCCTGGGTGAGCAGGTGCCTCTCGGGCGTCTGGGTGGGGTGTGTACTCCTAGTGCAGCCTGGCTGCAGTGCTTGCAAGGTGTGAGCGCTTCCCACGTGTGGGTGCGTGATGGTGATTGTGAATGGCCACCTTGTGCACTGGACCCAGGAACACATAGCAGTGAGCCCTCCTGGCGCACCCCTACCGTCAGGGCCACAGAGTCCCTAGCAGCCACACTACTGGCTGGAATAAGCCAAGGCCACACTGCAAGCAAAGTCGATGGTTGTATGTGGACTTTCCATGCGGCCTGTAAAGCCGACCGAGGACAGAGTGAATCTGTGTGGTCCCAACAGCTCAGTAACTGGGAGCCACTCTTTGGCCAGTTCTGGGCACTGTGACCACAGGACAGCCTCTGCTCAGCCTCCTCGCCTCGGCTGTCCTCATAGGTCTGGTCCCTGCGTTCGGGTGCCAGAGAACCATTTTTTTGGGTCAACATAATAAAAGCTTCCATCTGTAAGTACTTGAGATGCTTACACAATTTTACTTTTTGTTATAAATAAAAACATCATAACTGTATTAAAAGAAATTTGAAAGGGAGGAAAGAAAACCAAGTGCACAATCGCCCCTCTCTACTTCATTCTTGGCATTTTGGCCGGATCTATCTGCCTGTACGTATGTGTGGTTTACAAGGAGACAATGTCCCTTATCCTTTTCCAAGTCATTTCTGCTTTGCCTTCTCCCCTGGGCCTTGGGACAACCCAGCTCACCTGACAGGGCAGGGGTGACTGTCCCCACTGTGTAGTGATACTGAGAAGGGGGGACTTGTCTCAGTTTGTATGACCTACGTGGCAGCCAGGACTTCAAACTCTGGGCCAGTTCTCCTCTCCCTGCACAACCCCAAGTCTCAGTGCAATAGAAGCACAAGGTGGCCCTTGGGCCCACTGCACCCAGGGACCTTAGGTTTCTCCTGAGCCCCTCTTGTGCAGTCATCCATCTCCCCATCCATCCATCCGTCCATTTATCTCTCCATCCATCCGTCTACCTATCCACCTTGCCATCCATCTGTCCATCTCCCCATCCATCCGTCTGTACAGCCCTCTCTCCCACCCTCTATCTCTCCATTCATCCATCTACCTGTCCATCTTTCTGACTGTCCAATTTTTCATCTCTTCACCTATTCATCCATCTATCTGGCAAACAGGTACTGAGTTCCATCATGCTCCTGCCACCGTGCAAGACACAGGGATCCAAAGAGGAGCCCCTGTCCTCCAGGAGTTCGTGGTCCAGTGGGGAGGCCACTGGCTTGCAGAGGGCCACAGTGTGAGACACACACACAGGGCTCTAGCAGAGCCAAAGCCCCGCCTTGCCCAGCCTGGGTGTGGGGGCAGTGATGGGTCACAGTGGGCTTCCTGGGGGAGGTGACACTGTGCTGTGGTTCTGAGGTCCTCCAGACTCTCACATCACAAGAGTCATATGTGAGCTCAGTGGCAAGCTAGAGTGGGGCAGGTGTGGCCAGGGTTCCCCCTGACCACCTGGCTGCCTTCCAGGGCCACTGCTCCACCTTTGGACCTCAGGGCTCCCACCTGAAGTAGAAATGCTTTTCAGTTTTACAGTTCCCACCTGCCTTGAAGATTGGTACTCACTGATATTAATTTGTATGTTAGCAATTAGCCCTCCTGCTTCTTTCCAGCCTATGGCTCTTTGGGATGGATTTTTATGTGTGTGTCATTCATCAGACGCCTGTATGTGCTGCTGGAGACCCAGGTGGGCTTTATGACTGGTGACTTAGCCGAGTAGCATTATAAATGAACAACACGCCTGCCCCCATCCCTGGGCAGAGCTGCCCTGTGGCAGAGAGGGCAGAGTTTAGATCATTGTAAGCAGGTCAAAGCTGGCGTGAGCTGGGAGACCCAGGGTGTTCTTTCATTTTAGACTTCCAGGCTGAGGTCAACATCTGTGTCCAACCTTTAGAGATGAAAAGGCTCTTTGTGACTCAAAACTGGAGTTTGTTCCAATGGCTGCTGACTTCATCCCACCAGGACGGCCATCCACAGGGCCTGTCCCTTCTCCCTCACTGCCTTGTGTGGGTCACTCCTTGTTTGTGCCAGCATGGACCTGGGTGTTGTCACCGTCATGTTCCCTCTCTCTGGGGGCAGAGGGCTGGGGGTCAGAGCCACTGGGAAGGGAGAGCTTTTCCCTTTGGGAGTGTGGTCTGCTCCTAAACCAGTCATCAGGGTAGAGGGTTGGGCAGGAAGGGCATTTCAGGCTGAGGGAATAGCATATGAAGAGGCTCAGAGGTAAGAAGGGCTTGTTGCAGTGAGAAGGCTGGTGTCCCAAAGCCCTGAGTTTGTGGAGGACAGTGAGCAGAGCTGAAGTGGGAGATGGGATTCTGGCCTAGGGGGTAGTTTTGAATGCTCTACTGAGGGGCCTGGTCTTCATACTGAGGGTAGTGGGGAGCCAGAGTGGGTGCCCAGGCAGGGAGGGGCATGACCAGACCTTTGTGGAGAACTGGAGGGACCAGGGTACATGGGAGGGGATGAGTGAGGGGCTGGAACAGTGTCCCCAGGAAAGGGGTGGGGAAGGGGCTGATTCGGAGGCCTCCCTAAAGACAGGCCAGGGGCTGAGTGGGTTCCCTCCCCCTTCTCCTTGCCAGAGGGTGGCTGAGTGCTCTCGTGACCCTGTGAAGCAGCATCATGGGTGGCTTGCCTGCTGGGGGCTCCAAGCCTGCCTGAAGGGGATGCAGGTTCTAGGTGCCCCAGGAAGGGCAGCAGGAAGGCCTCCGGAGGGGGCATGTTGGAGGCTCCAGCTCCTCCCTCTGCACCAAGATGGCCCCAGCCTGCCCCCTTCTCACTCACTCTGGCCTCTGGGCTTGGCACCCACACAGCGCAGCAGGTGAGAAGGGGAGGAGGCGAGAGCCTGCGTTCAGGCGTGAGCCCTCCGAGCTTCCACGCTGCTAATTAAACCATTTCCTGACAAAACCCAGACATTCCAGGACGGTTGTGTGAGCAAGTGTGTGAGCCAGTCTGCAGGCGGCCTCCGGAGCCCATGCCCCCTGCCAGCGCCCACCCTCAGGGACAGACTACGGGGGATCCAGGAGGGCAGTGCCCAGAGTAGAGAAGCCTCAGCGTTCCCTGGGGGCTGCTCTTCCAGGACAGAGCTTCTCTGGAGAAAAAACCTGGGATGCCCACCACGATGGGCTGTCCTCCTTCCTGTCT